TGTGCTTCTTCCATGTGGGCTTTGTTGCTTCTGAGCTAGATGGCCACTTGTTTATCTTCAAGCCTTTAAGACCCCAGATGCTATATCTTTTGCTATCTGGGAACGATCAGATAAAGCTCTTTCTTATACACATATGAGTGTCTATGAATTTGTTTCTCAAGTCCACCCTGACTAGCCCACACCCTTAGGTAATTATTAGCCTAGTTACTGTCTCATTAGACCTATGTTTCCTGGATTTCAAATCCAGGGACTCATACAAAGCAAAACACAATCACACAAAGTCGCACAGAGCAAACAAAGAAAAACACACCAACATCAATGACCAGACGAGGCATCCATACTAACTAACTGCATCTGTAATTATCAACTTGGCGATGTTCTCTGTCTGACAGTGAAGCTATTCACATCCCTCAACTATGGTCAGAGAGGATTCACTGAAGGGTTAATCCTTGAGGGGAACCTGCAGATGGATTTGGAGCGTCCATGGTCATCCGTAGCATTCTGAAAACCTGGTGTTCGTGATTTAAACTCTGGTACTATTCCCTCTTTCTGATCCGGGCTTATTATTTACAATCCTTGGGTCACACAGGCTGGTGTGCTTCTTCCACATGGACTTAGCTGATGCCTCCTGGGATGGCTGCTTATTTGAAGACAAGCTTTGAAGACCCCAGAGTCTATACTTTCTGAGAGCTGGGCACCATTTGGTTTCTTCACCACCCTTTGGCACAGCATCCATATCATCAGTGGTCTCTTCCTGAAGGTGAGCATCAAGCAGGACCAACGGCATGCTCTATGAGGGGTTGTTCTGGGTTCCACAGGTGTGACAGGGGGCAACTGGGAGCCAAAATCCTCAGTGAGGGAAGTGAATCCAGCAGGGGCAGGTGGGGTCCTGAGGTACCCTGCTATGGGGCCCAGGATAGTTATGGGGCAGGAAGGCCCCTGGCTGGGAGACCAGGCCTGTCTTTTTCCTCCCTGAACAATATCCTGACCCTCTGGTTTCCGCCTGCAGGGGACTCTGGTGGAGAGGACCAGCCCTTGGTACATGAGTAGCCACCATTGGAGCAGAGGGATCAGAAGGCCCACACACGTGTTCTCCAGCTGGGGCCACGGCTAGTGCTGAGGTAGGGGCTCAGGCGCAGCGCCCAGGGCTGACTCCAGGCAGGATCTCAGACAGGATCACTCAGAATGCACTCCATCCATTTAAGCGGGTCATTGCATAAGAAAGTCTCAGAAGACCCCCTGCCAGGGTGCAGGTGGGAGCCAGCAGGAAGGTGGAGCTAGAATGGCCTATCAACGTCTCCATCTGATCTGTGGTGGGGCCATGGGACCCGGTGACGGATGTGGGCAGGGACATGGTAAGAGCCGGGCATGAGACACTGGTCATGAGAGCCTGGGCTATCTCATGTGGGCTCTGTTTGTGCCTGGGTGGAAGCGAGGGGGGTACATGTGGATACAGAGTCCCGGAGGGTGTCTGGTGAGTGTCACCATCGGGGCTCCATCTGCCGAGGCCATGGGCATGGCCCTAGCACCAAGTCCCTTGGCAAGCTGCCAGGAACGTGCACTGTGCAAGGGTATTTGTGACCTCCTGGGGACCCCCATTCTCTGAGGGAGTGGGGGTCAGGTGACTGGGGGCTGGCACGTTCCCAGAACCCCCACTGATGAAGCAAGACTACACAGGGGTTCAGACCCCACCCATGACAAGACCACCTGGGAAGCAAAGAGACTCAAGCTTCCCCACCTACCCTGCCTGAGAGGCCCAGAGCTCTGTGGGGGAAGAGGGGGTGGGGTGGCGGCATGGCCTAACATGTGAGCCTGTGAGCACTGAACTGCAGTGTCTGGAACAGAGTCACACGGTCACTGAGTCTGACTCACCAGGTCCCTCCAGGCCCCTCCTCCTCACCCCTTAGGAGGATAAATAGGGGGGAAAGGGACCAGGCCGCAAGAGACAGAGACTTGTTAGGGTAGGTCCCCACCCTCAGCGACTCTGACATCTGCATGCAGCTGGGGAGACGACAGGAGTTCAGGGTGGGACCAATCCCCCTAAAGAACCCCAGCAAGTTCACTGCCCTCTTTGCTCCTCCAGATGCAGAGCCCGCTGGCACTGATGCTGCCCCTCTTGCTGGGCCTGGCCCAAGCCGTCCCTGGTGAGTATGGACCCAGCATCGGCCTGTCCCTGCCCTCCTTCCCTGTACCCCGTCCGACATCCCAGCAGGGTGAGGGTCAGAGGTACTAACACTGTCCCAGCCAAAGGAGGGTGATATCAGGGCCAGAACTGAGGCTGATGCCTGAGGCCACCCTCTCCCCACCCCCAGCCCCAGCCTGGGAGCGAGCGGGCATCATGGGGGGGAAGGAGGCCCCCAAGAACAAGTGGCCCTGGCAGGTGAGCCTGCGGAAGCACTGTTACTACTGGACACACTTCTGTGGGGGCTCCCTGGTGCACCCCCAGTGGGTACTGACTGCTGGGCACTGCGTCGGACCGTGAGTACCGAGGGCTGGGTGCTGGGGTGCCAGGCTGGGCTCTGCCCACGGCAACCGGTTCCCAAATGGCCCCTCCCCACAGGGAGATTAAGGAGGCCTCAGAGCTCAGGGTGCAGCTGCGAGAGCAGTACCTGTACTACGAGGACCAGCTTCTGCCAGTCAGCAGGATCATCGTGCACCCCAACTTCTACACCCCAGAACGGGGCGCCAACATCGCCCTGCTGGAGCTCCAGGACCCGGTGAACATATCCAGCAACGTGCAGCTGGTCACCCTGCCACCAGCCTCGGAGACCTTCCCACCTGGGACACCGTGCTGGGTGACCGGGTGGGGCAACGTGGGGAATGGAGGTAGTTTCAGGGGTGGGGGTAGGAAGCTGGATGTGGGGACAGTCTCCTTGGGCAGATCCACTCGGAAAGTAGACAGTGGTCCCCTCTGTGTCCACCTGCTCAACGCTTTTTCTCCTCTTATCTCCAAGTCCCTCTGGCACCACCCTATCCCCTAAAGCAGGTGAAGGTGCCCATTGTGGAAAACAGCCTCTGTGACACCAACTACCACACTGGTCTCAACACTGGGGACAACATCCACATCGTGAAAGATGACATGATGTGTGCTGGGGAGAAAGGGCGAAACTCCTGCCAGGTGAGAGCCCTTGGGACCCACCTTCCTACAGCCTCACCTGCCCACTGCCCTTGACCAACACTTACATGCCCCACCCACCTCCCCTAGGGCGACTCCGGAGGTCCCCTGGTGTGCAAGATGAAGGACACCTGGATGCAGGCAGGTGTGGTCAGCTGGGGCAAGGGATGTGCTGAGCCCTGGATCTACACCCGTGTCACCCACTACCTGGATTGGATCCACAGCTATGTCCCCAAGGAGCCTTGAGCTCAGACCCCAGAGCCACCAGCCCATCTATCCCCACACCTCAGCTTGCTGCTCAGGGGTCTCCCCTGATATCCCTCCCCTCCAGAAGCCCCTCTGCTCCTGAGCCCTCCCACCTTCACCTGCCCAGGTAGCAGAGGTGTGGGAGCCGCCCATCCCCTCCCCACTGCTGTGTGTCATTAAAGTGCATGGAAAGCAGGTGATTTTGTCATTGTGTGTCTCATGGTGGGTGTCACTGGGTGTCCGGGACAGACCTGAGGGGTCCCCAAGGCACTGTGTGGCCCTGTGGCCACCCCTCCCAGCCCCCTACCAAGGCCAGCCATGAGCCCCTCTCCCACACACAGGTGTGACTTCTGTAGGTAGCACCTCGCACTCAGGGCCACAGAGCAACATCGCCCTTGGCAATGGTCACCAAGGACAGCTAGGGTCAGTAGTCAAGGCAGGCGACAGAGGTGGTCCATGTCCCCCAACCACAAGCCCTCAGTGTCCTCTGCCCCCATGTGTGTGGGGCTCCCTTTGGCACAGGCTTGACTGTGACAAGTGTCACCCAGAGGACATTCCCTCTGGTCCTGCTCTTCTCTCAGCACCCTTCTACAGTGACCCCTCCTGCGCACGTCCCTGCAGCCCAGAACCCCCACTGCTCCTGGTCCTGCTTCACTCCACTTGGTCACTTGGTCACTCTGTCCAGTGGGCTTCTGACCGACGCCCCTGTCCTTCTTGGTAGGGTTCTTACGATGGGGGCCCCAGTGCTCCGTGTGGGCTTGGCTATTGTGTGAGCACACCAGGAGGGGGGTGCTGGACTCCAGGTGGTTCTAGAAAATGGTTTCACTCCCATCCCCATCTGGTTTCACTCCCATCCCCGTGTGTGTGTGTGTGTGTGTGTGTGTGTGTGTGTGTGACAACCACTTCTTCCCTGCTCTCTCCATCGGCCCCAGGAGAGGACACTGCACTGTGCTTTCCTTTCCTGGTTAAACAGACTTGCCTTTGGCCCAGAGCAAGTGGAAGCCTAGGGGGTCAGCACTCCCCTGGCCACTGGAGGCCGGTGGCCTGACCCTGTCCTCAGGGGAAAGGCCTGGCTGCCTGGGCCATGGCAGCTCCCCTGTTGTCGGGGTCCCCGAGTGTTGAACCCGCTGACTTGGTGGAAACCAGCAGCAGGAACAGTTTGGGGATTGGTTTGGGGATTACAGACTGAGCAGGAAGCAGGAAGGCCCATGTCCTGTCCTGGGAGGTTTGTCCAATTGACAGGCCCCGTGGATACATTGTTGTTCATGGTGCACGGTCCTGTGGGTCTGACAGGTGCACAAGCCAGGGGTCCCTGTGACAGCCTGGACATAACCACCTGACCCCATCACACTGTCCTCGCACTGCCTGCGCCCTGGTCTCCCCCCTCCACTGAGCCCTGCTCCTCACCTGTCCCTGGCAGCAGGGCTGCCTTTTCCTGAACGTTCCCTAGTGGGAGTCACCAAAGGTTTCTGAATTCTAGAGAATCCTTTTTAAGACATGCCAAGCATTAGGGCTTTTTGCCAGCATATGGGGAGGTCAGAAGCTTAGAGACATCCTCCCTGAAGGCAGTCAGTCACCAGACTACGGTAGGCCCCGCTCCCTGCTGGTAAGGACAATGGGCTACTTCTCCTTAAAGGCTTACAGTCATGGATTTGGTTCCTGTAGGTGGAGTTCACACTGATAATGGTGCCTGGGAACAGGTCAAACTGGCTCAGTAACATCCAACTTAAGCTGCCATCCTGAATCTAGGAGCCACCCATCTTGCCACAAGTATATCCCCAATCCCTCCTCTTCCTATTGTGTGTACACCCCTAAATCACCCCCCTCCCGTTGCTGTATTACCTATAGCACAACCCTTTCCTGTGACATATGTCTTCACCTGTAATTAAGGGACTTCCATGCCCCCAGAGAATATAAAAGCCTTGGTTAGCATTAAATATTGCTCTCTCCACGTGGACCACCAAGCGAGGCTGAGGTGAGCACTGGTACCATGGAATGTGTCTGACTCCATTACTCCTATCTCTCTTCTATCTCTCATGCTCTCTATGACTTTACTATAATCTTTACTTGTTATCGCTGTACAAATTGCACCGACTGGACGCATGATGATTTGCTAGGGGCTGGATTCCCCTCCCACTTTTTATTTTCAAGAAGCCAGAACGGGCCTGTGGGGGTGGGGGCAGCAGGGTGGAGAGTGGGCTGCTACCAGGACTTTCTGCTTATCTGGCAAGATCCCTGATACAGATGCCCATTCAGGCAGTGACAGTTGACAGATAATGGAGTGTGGCCCCTAATCAGGGGACTGAGGCCGGGCATCTAGAGCATCAGGCTCAGCTGCTCAGGCTGGGTTGGGGCTGGTCCACGGTCCTGCTGAGAGGAAGGGACCCAGGTGGTCTGGCCGCTGCAGCAGACTGAGCCCTGCCTCCACCCAAGGTTTGGAGGGAGCTGTGGGGTGGATGTATGTTGGACGGATGGAACATGCCCGCCCCCAAGTCTGGAGGTGAAGCAAGTGGGAGAAGGGACCTGAAAACCCCTTCTACAGAGCAAGGCCATAGCCTGGGCTGTGGGGCCCCATCGGGGCTTGCCCTGCTTCCACCCTCTCTCAGGGTGCAGCTGTCAAGAGAGAGAAGGCCAGGGAGGTGCAATGCTCCCCCCTATCCTCAGAGTGTGGCACTAATGTGGCTGTGACCCCATCAGGCCAGATGGGCAGCCCGCTGTGGTCCAGCTGCTGGCCTGGAGGAGCCCACATTCACCTGTGAGACTGGATCCTGGTGGATTATCAGGATCAATGACACCCCACCCTGTGCTTGGAGCTCAGTTTTCCCTAGCTACAGGGGTCCTGGAACTAGAGGGTCTCCAAGAGCCCCTCTGGCCTGGCTTAGGGCGGTCTGGGCCTCTATCTGTTTGGACATCAGCCCTGGGCACACAGGCACCCTGGAGGCCCGCTGAGTGACTGAACCTGTCTGATCTGTGGTGGGGTCATGGGACCCAGGGAGGGATGTGGGACCCGGATAAGGGGGTGGACACAGAAGAGCTGGAGGATAAATGGGGAGGCTGGGCGCCTGGGTGGGGAGTTGCAGAGCCTTGCCAGAGTAGGTCCCTATCCTCAGACACCATAGATCATATGTGCTCGCCCTGACTCCTGGCTCCTTAGGCCTGATCCCTGCCCACCCTTCTCCGGCTCCCCGCCACAGACCGGTCAGCTCACTGGCCTCTTTGCTCCTCCAGATGCAGATGCTGCTGGCGCTGGTGCTGCCCCTCGTGCTGGGCCTGGCCGGAGCCGTCCCTGGTGAGTTTGGACCTGCCCCTCCCTGACATCGCAGCATGGGGGGTGGCGGTGGTCAGAGACACCAGGACTGCCCCAGCCAGGGGAAGGTTGTACCAGGGCCAGAGCCCTGGTGCCACCCTCTCCCCACCCACAGCCCCAGCCTGGGAGCGAGCGGGCATCGTGGGGGGCAAGGAAGCCCCCAGGACCTACTGGCTCTGGCAGGTGAGCCTGCGGACACACCAGCACTACTGGGCACACTTCTGTGGGGGCTCCCTCGTGCACCCCCAGTGGGTACTGACTGCTGGGCACTGCGTCGGACCGTGAGTACCGAAGGCTGGATGCTGGGGTGCTGGGCTGGGCTCTGCCCACGGCAACCGGTTCCCAAATGGCCCCTCCCCACAGGGAGATTAAGGAGGCCTCAGAGCTCAGGGTGCAGCTGCGAGAGCAGTACCTGTACTACGAGGACCAGCTTCTGCCAGTCAGCAGGATCATCGTGCACCCCAACTTCTACAGTGTGGATCAGGGCGCCGACATCGCCCTGCTGGAGCTCCAGGACCCCGTGAACATATCCAGCAATGTGCAGCTGGTCACCCTGCCACCAGCCTCAGAGACCTTCCCACCTGGGACACCGTGCTGGGTGACCGGGTGGGGCAACGTGGGGAGTGGAGGTATCTTCAGTGGTGGATGTGGGAGTTGCGTTGGGAGTTGGGTGTGGGGACAGTCTCCTTGGGCAGATCCACTCGGGAAGTAGACAGTGGTCCCCTCTGTGTCCACCTGCTCAATGCTTTTTCTCCTCTTGTCTCCCAGTCCCTCTGGCACCGCCCTATCCCCTAAAGCAGGTGAAGGTGCCCATTGTGGAAAACAGCCTCTGTGACACCAACTACCACACTGGTCTCATCACTGGGGACAACATCCGCATCGTTCAAGATGACATGCTGTGTGCTGGGAAGAAGGGGCGAGACTCCTGCCAGGTGAGAGCCCTTGGGACCCACCTTCCCACAGCCTCACCTGCCCACTGCCTCTTAGCCACCACTGACACTCCCTACCCACCTCCCCTAGGGCGACTCCGGAGGTCCCCTGGTGTGCAAGGTGAAGGACATCTGGATGCAGGCCGGCGTGGTCAGCTGGGGCAAGGGGTGTGCTGAGCCTGACCACCCTGGTATTTACACCCGTGTCACGTACTACCTGGACTGGATCCACAGCTATGTCCCCAAGGAGCCCTGAGCTTAAGCCCTAGAGCCACCAACCCATCTATCCCCACACCTCAGCTTGCTGCTCAGGGGCCTCCCCCGATGTCCCTCCCATCCAGAGGCCCCTGTGCTCCTGCCTCTTCCCACTCTCACCTGCCCAGGTAGCAGAGGTGTTGGCGTCCCTCATGCCCTCCCCACAGCTGTGTGTCATTAAAGAGCATGGAAAGCAGGTGTGGCTCTGGTCGCTGTGTTTCTGCTGGAGGTGATCCTAGGCCTCTCTAGTGTCCCTTGGTGTCCCCAGGCATTGCTGGGCTCCAGGCTCAGTCTAGAAAGTGCTGCCCTGGGTCACCCCGCACCCCTATTCCAACCCGAGCCCAAGAGAGGGACCAGATCTCGTCCTCCTCATCCCTGGACCCTGTTCCCTTCTGAGGGTGTGACTGTGTGGTGGCTGTGGGTTTTAGCTGCTGTGGAATCAGCCCAAGGTACAATCACCTGTGTGTCCAAAGTAGAGCTGGTCCCCTGGGCTTTCCAGGGGAGACTGCTCAGAAGCACATTGTCAGGACTGTCTTTCAAGACCCTCTGAGTGGGTGTCCACTGCCAACCTTCACGCTAGTAGACAAGTGCTTAGCCATTTGCGCAGCGCAGGGACTCTGTGTGAACCCATGTCTTGTGTGCATGGATGCGTGTATTGCATCCATGCATGCACATGGGTGTGTGTATCCATGCATTCATGTGTACACTGTGCATGCTTTCAGAGGCATATGTGCTCACGCATGTATATGCATGTACACTCTGTAGGTATGTGTTTGTGTGTACATGTATGCACATGGGTATGTATGCCTGTACATTGTGTACATGTATCCAGAGATGTACATGTGTGTATGTGTCTTGTGCATATGTATATGCACGTGTATTGTGCATGCATGCAGAGGTGTGTGCACGTGTGTATGCATGTCTTGTGTGTATGTGCACATGTATCCACGTGTCGTGTATTGTATGCACACGTATGTCACGCTGTTTATTCCAGGTTTTTCTTGTAAACTTTTGTTGTGATTCGGATGGAAATTTACAGAGTCCGTTTTTCATTCAGTAGTTGACATGCATTTTGTGTGACCACCTTGACTGCAGTCCCCACAATGTGACAGCACCATGTCCACATCCTCCCTGTGTCCCTCTGTCCTTTTCCCCACCCTTTCCTGCCCTCAGCTTTGTCCCAGGCAGATGCTGCCCTCTGGCCTCTCCTGTAGCTGGCTGTCCCCAGGAGCATGCCCCCCCTCAGGGAACTGGTCATTCACCTCTGTTGGTGGAGAGTTGAGTGTCAGCAGGAGTTCAGGGCGGGACTGGGCGGGTGTCTCCGGTTGGCATCTTCCTGGGCCCACTTGAGAAGAGGGGTGAGTCGGAGTGCCAGAGGTGCCCCTGGAACGGCAAAGCTGTTCCTTTTATTGTCCCTGCAAGGCTGCATCCCTCACCATAGTCCCTTTTGCCTCAGGGCACGTCCGTGTGTACGTGTGTCTGTGTGTCCTTTCAGCTCAGGGCATGTCCGTGTGTATGTGTGTCTGTGTGTCTTTTCAGCTCAGGGCACATCCGTGTGTCCCGGCTGCTGTGGGCACGTCTGTGTGTCCGTGTGTGCTGTGGGCAGCAGGGTCTTTTCCCCACCACCCTGGCGTTTGCATTTCTCCCCATGGCAGGGCAATGGACGGCTCCGGGAGGCTCTCCCAGTGTCTCTGCACTCCATCACAGAGGGCCCTTCTGACACTGCCTGCTGGGGCTGTGGGACTGGGCTGTCCCCTCCCTGCCAGGGGCCCCTATCTGCTCAGACATCGCCCTGGGCACACATAGGGCATATGGAAGACGCCGAATGGGCTGGGCAGTTGTGTGACTGTGTCTGGAGACGGATGTGGGACAGGGACATGGTGGGGGCTGGAGGCCCGGAGGCCAGAGCCACCCTCCGTAGCAGCCTCCCTGAGACCACGCTTCCCATAGACAGAGGCAGGGGCCAGTGTGCACCGGGGCAACCAAGGAGGACTTCCTGAAGGGGGTGGCACTGACCCTCCCCATGAAGGGCAGAGAGGAGGCTCAGGTCACTGTGGGGGCCTGACTCTACCCAGCTGGCTGTGGTTCCCCGGTGGTCCTGCTGGTCACTGCCTGCCTGGGCCGTGGGGTCCACATGGGGCACACAGGCAGCCGGTCAATGCCGACCCTTCTCTTACCCGCCAGCTGTAGGGGGTATCCCCCTCCTCCCCAGGACCAGCTCATAACTGCAGAGGGTGGGGTTCAGGTGGAGTAGCCCTCCCCTCTCCGAGGCCTCCCTCAGCCCCTCCCCTGCCTACAGCTTGGGGGGTTGCATGGGGGTCTCTCCCTTTCCCAGCCTGCTCTTGGCCCCTCCCCCACCCCACAGCTGCATGGGTGGCATCTCTCCCTTCCGGAGACTGCCCTTGGCCCCACCCCTGCCCCACAGTGCAGTATATGTATCAGGCCAGGTGTCTCTCTCTCTCCTCCCCAGCACTTAAGAGGACACCATGGCCCTGGGGCCCAGCAGCTTCCTGCTGCTCCTGGCCCTGCACGGTGGGTGACCAGCCTAGGTCTGGGGGTGAGAGTGCGGCACGGGTGCTGGTGAGTAGGATGTCTGCGTCATGTCGGGGCCTGGATGGCCACCTGCCACTTCCCCCTGGCCTTCCTCCCAGGAGCTGACGCCCTGGCCAGCCGCCGGGGCAGGCGGTCCTCGCTGGATGCCTGGATGCCCCTGCAGAAGGTGGGGTGCAGTAGGCTGACAGGGCGATCCAGGGTAGAGTCTAAGACACAGAGCAGCCCTGGGCCCCAGATGAGTCTCAGGGACCTGGGGTGCAGGAAGGGGAGGGCTCTGGCTAAGCTGCTCAGCCTCCCAGCTGTCTGTTTATGGCCATTTCTGGTCCCACCCCAGGCAGCAGCTGTTGGGCCCTGCCCACCCCTCCACACCCCCACACCCCTGCCACATCCCCCACAGGCAGGCTGCACCAGACCCCAGCCCACCCCTCGGGTCATTCCAGGTTCTACTTAGAGCCAGCAGACCCCTATCCCACCCTCAGCCTGAGCCTGCCCCTCTCTTCCCTCAGGTGTGTCTGGGGGCATTCTCCAGGCAGGTAAGTTCTGATGGCTAAGTGGCTCTGGTGGTTGGCCCCCTGGCAGGGACCCCTCTCCCTGGCAGCTGCTCCTGAGTGATGGTGGGGGGTGGGGGGCAAGAAACCAAACTCTGTCTGGGGGCTTGCATGACCCCTCTGAAGGGGGGGCCTGCAGGGGGAGGGGTAAAGGGATGAGATGGCACAGGGCAATAGAGGGGAGATGAGGGGATATGGTGGAGGGTCAAGTGGAGGGGAAGGGACCAATTGGGGATGAGAGGGCATGGGGGAGGGGCCAGGGAGGGGTGGGGAGGGGCTGTGTAAAGGGATGGGGTGGAGGATGGTCCTAGGAGGCGCCCTAGAGGAAAGGCCCCAGGGCAGGGCAGCCAGCCTCTCACACCCCCATTAAGGCCCACCCCTTTGGCTCAGGGTGTGGCCAACCCCAGGATTTGGAGGCTGGAGGCCGCATCGGGGGCCGCATCGTGGGAGGGCACGAGGCCCAGGCGGGGGCGTGGCCGTGGCAGGTCAGCCTGCGTCTTCACAGCGTGCACGTGTGTGGAGGGACCCTGCTCAGTACCCAGTGGGTGCTCACAGCTGCCCACTGCTTCTCAGGGTGAGTGTGCGGGGTGACAGGGTAGCCCAGGCTAGGTGGGGGTTGGTGGACTTCCCCCTCCGTCAAGAAGGGCGTGGCTACATCCTGGGAGTCTGTGCAGGGCGCTCAGGAGCCCCCGGGGCTGGGGTGTGCACACCCCCCAGCCAGTTAGGCAGCTTCAGTGCTCCCCTCCCTCGCCCCCTCCGCAGTCTGCCACTGTGACCCGCACCCCTTGTTTGTGGAATGCTACAGATAGCACACCTCTTATCTTCCAGTTGCAGGGTGAGGGGCAGAAACCCTGGTCTCATACTCCCTCTCAGCCCTTGGGCTGTGGAGGGCAGGGACCCTAGAGCCCCGAGGGGCAAGTGGGGTCTGGGCCCCTGAGGGGATTGACCTGTGTGCAGCTTTGATCCCTGGCCTCAGCTGGCTGCTTGGGGACCAGGGATGCTCCCCAGGCAGCCCACTCCTCCCCCCGCCCCCCACCCCCAGGTCCCTGAATTCATCAGACTACCAAGTCCACCTGGGCGAACTGAGGATCACTCTGTCCTCCAGCTTCTCCACGGTCAGCCGAATTGTCCTGTACTTGGGCCGCCCAGGACCTCCGGGCACCAGTGGGGACATAGCCCTGGTGCAGCTGAGCACACCCATACGCCTCTCACGCTGGGTCCTGCCTGTCTGCCTCCCTCAGGCCTCCGCCAGCTTCCAGCCTGGGACTCGGTGCTGGGTCACTGGCTGGGGCTACACGCAGGAGGGAGGTTAGGAGCCCCAGAGCCCCCTGGTCAGGCCCAGCGGGGATGGAGGCCAGGCTGCCTGAAGAGGAATGGCAGGGGGGTTGGGACCACCAGACTCCCAACAGCCAAGACCATCATACATTAGTTCTCACTAAGGGGGCAGCATCTACCATACACTAATTCTTACTATGGTGTGTGAATGCCTACCCACCACCCGTGTGACTATCTTACATTGGTTCTCACTAGGGTGTAAATGGCTGTCTTACTATAATTCTGAGTTGGACACTCTGGGGCGTGGAGAGGGGGGTGAGATAGCTGGGGTGGGGGGGAGGCACCCAAAAGGGGGGAGATGAGGGGACATGGAGGCGGGGCCAGTAGAGGGGTGAGGGGACATAGGGAGGGGTTAGTGGAGGGATGAGGACATGGGGGGTGGGCAGTGGGGGAATGAAGGGACATGGGGATAGTGTCTTGTCACACATTACTTCTAAGGTGGCAGTGTCTACCCACTAGCAGTGTGACCATCATACACTAGTTATCACTCAGGTATTAATGTCTATCCATCACCTGTGTCCCAGCGAGTTGGCATTACCCACTGGGACTGGGTTGGGGCACCCATGTCCCCCAGTGCTGGGGCCTGAGCTCAGCTGCAGCCTGTCTCCCCTTCCCCAGAGCCTCTGCATGCCCCCTACAGCCTGCAGGAGGTACAGGTCTCCATCGTGGACACAGAGACCTGCAGGCAGGACTACAACAGCACGGGCAGCACCATCCAGCTGGACATGCTGTGTGCCCAGGGCCCGGGGGATGCCTGCCAGGTGAGCAGGTGGGAGTGGGTGGATGGGGGAGCCTAAAACCTGGTGAGGGGATCCCCAGCACCCCCTGTTCCACTGCAGGATGACTCTGGAGGGCCCTTGGTCTGTCAGGTGGATGGCCGCTGGCTGCAGGCAGGCGTGGTGAGCTGGGGAGAGGGCTGTGGCCGTCCAGACCGGCCTGGTGTGTACACCCTGGTTCCTGCTTACGTGAACTGGATCCACTTGTACATCCCGGCAGCGAGGGGCTCTGAACTGGCCCCACTGCCCCTCCTGGCCAGCTTCTTCCTCCCTGGACTCCTCCTTGCCCTGGTCTTCTGTGTCTTGGTGGCCAAGTTCTCCCTGCACAGAGCTCCTGCCCTCCTCCCTTCCTGGCAGGTCATGGAGGATTAGAGCCACCTGCTAGGCAGGGGCCTTCAGGAGGTCCAGCTCATCTCCTTGTGAGGAACTGAGACTGGGGCGGTACCATGACCTGCCCTGTGAGCCCTGGGCAGTGCAAACCAGAGACACTTGGCCAGCACTGGGGACCCAGCAGATGGAGAGGAAATTACACTGGCCCGCCCACCCCTTTGCCACCCATGGGTCAGGGAGCTGTCCCTGACCTAGAACCTCGGGATGTCTGAATTCAGACGTCGGGCCAGATGTGGAGCAAATAAACTGCTGTCTGCACGCACTATTCTGTGGTCCTTGGTCCCGGGGCCCGAGGTTCACACTGCAGTCTGAGCCCTGAGCCACACAGCCCATATAAGGAAGACAGCCCTCAGAGACCTCAGTGGACACAGGGAGACCAGCAGGGAGGGAGCCCTAAGGCTTTGCCAGGCAGACAGCTCTGTGAGGTCCTCCAGCTACTGTGCCTGCAGCTGGCACTGCAGGCTGCCTCCCTGGAATGGCACGATGGTTCACTCTAGGATCACAGAGCAGAGAAGGGCGGGGGTAGGGCCTGGGGCTTCCTCAGGAGTGGCTGGAGCCAGCATACAGCTAAGGGACGCTTGCTCACTCTCTGTCTCTCTAAAGCAACTGGTTCCAGGGTGGGCAGACAGGCGGAGGGACTGCCCAGGCCTGCACCTGCCGCCCCCATGCTTGGACTGCAGCCAGCCCGACAGGCTTCTGAAATAAGTTAACTTTTATTCAGCTTCGCCTGCTCCCCTTTCTCCCTTCCCTGGCCTCAGCGCAGGAAGGATCTCTTGTGCCATATTACTGCCACGTGGAACCTGAATGGAGCAGACAGACCTGGAACCCCACAACCAGAGCCCCGCAGAAGGGTGCCTTTTGCCCCGGGTCACAGCTCCGTTGTGGCATGGCGGCATCGTGGGAGGGGGAGCTGCCTTCCAGACCACCTGTGTGGGAGGGGGCAGGGGGATGGAGAGAGAAACCCACAGCTTCTGGTGACAGGGGGGCAGGGTGTGATGGGGTGAGGCCTGATGGATGCGGAGGGTGTGTGTGTGTGTGTGTGTGTGTGTGTGTGTGTGTGTGTGTGTGTGTGTGAGAGTGAGAGAGAGAGAGATGAGCTGGGCCGTGCCGGTCACAGAGACCGGGGCGTGTTCCCTAAAAAAATACATGTTCTACGCTGACAGAGTCCCCGAGGGGGCGGTACTGTCCATTTTTGGTCATTTGGGGCCGTTATCCACCGTCTCCCGGGGCTACATGACGGCTATCCACAGCAGGGGGCACGGCCTCAACCACAGCGTGAACCTGGGACACCCACACCTACCACCTGGGGATCCTGACTCATCCCGACCGGAGTCCTCTCCCTGTTGCTCCGCTCGGAGATGCCCGTGCTTCCCACTCCCCTGGGGTGGACAGGCCTGAGCCAGGGTCCATCCTAGCCCCATGGGCTGGTCCCCAGGAGGTTCCGAGATCCCACCACAAAACCCTTTAGGCTGTTGGCCCCAAAGCTACACAGGGTCCTCCACGCTGCTGTCTGGGGCTGGGGTGCCTGGGGGGGACCCTGGTTTCTTTGGGGGGCTGTGGGGGGCTGTGAGGAGCACCCCCTGCCCCTTCTCCGGGGGCTCACCAGGGGGCACAGGAGGTGCAATATTGTGGGGCCCTGGAGGCACTGTGACCCCTAAGGAGGAAGCATGAGGTTCTGCGGTCTCACCCTGACCACTGTCCAAAAATGGGTCCCCACTGGAGGCCCCCATGCCCAGCGGCTCAAAGGCAAAGTTTGGGACAGTCAGGTGCTCTGAGCGGCCCTGGGCCTGGCCCCGCCGCTCACCTTTGCCTGCAGGGTCCACTCCGGGCCCCAGGCTCTCCGTGGGCTCCAAGGGGTCCCTATGGGGGGTGGCCGGACCTGGAGAGGGTTCGCAGGATGGGGTGCGCCGCCGAAGGGTGGTACTGCTGCCCTCTGCCGCTGTTGGCCGGCTGGCACCCTCGTCCTCCGTGGGGGGGTCAATGGAGATACAGGGGGGGCTCATCTTTTTCTTGCGCCGAGCGCCCAGGGTCGGCTCAGCCTCAGGGACCTCGTCATGCCCACCGTCCCCACCTGGCTCTGCTCCTGGCTGCCTCTGCCCATCTGGCCGGCCATTCCCCGGCCGGCAGCTCCAGCTGTCGATCCCGCAGAGGCGGTGCAGGCCCCCACGGGCCGAGGAGTCGCTGGGGGAGGCCTCAGGGCTGCTGGGCTCGGGTGGCCAGGGCCGAGCCGCGCTGGTGATGTGGCGGACCTCCTCATCGGCTGGGTCCGTGGCTTCGTCGGCGGCCTGCGGCCGGCTGGCCACACAACGCTGTCCAAACGTGTGCCGGCGCGTGCGCAAGCTCGCAGGTCTCGGAGAGTGGGGCGGGGTCCGTGGGGGGCCCCCCAGAGATGCAGGCCGGGCCACAGTCTTCTCTCCTGATTCCCTGGGGTCTGGGACGCTGTCCCGAGAGCCGTCAATCTGTCCTTCTAAGGAGTCGGTGCGGACGGCCTCCTGCGGGGCATGGGGTCAGGTCAGGGGGTGCCCAGGGCGCAGAAAACTTGTCCCTCACCCTGGCTGCAACAGTCAGGTGGGGGAGCGGGCATGAGCAGACTCCCAGGAGGGGCCCCAAGCTGGGATGGTGTTGGACTCATTAGCAGACACATCCCTTCCATTTGAGGACCCCCTCACTCTGCAGGCCCCTGGACGCTCCGCCGACAGACTGCGAGCACTGTGCGGCTCTGTTCAGCTGCATGCAGGTCAGGGGCAGAGAGGAAAGTGCGGTGCACCGCGGGTGGGGACGGTGCTGGTCAGAGCCTGTGTGCCCAGGGTGCCCTCCCCAGAGCAGTGATCCCACTGGCTCAGCTGGATGCCCCTAGGGTGACGTTCTGGGGTGGACATAAGTTCTCACCACAGGCTGGATTGCCAAGGAGGCCAGGTAAGGGCCGGAGTGAGGGCTCCTCGCATCGGGGCATCTGCCATCCGCTGCCTGGCCACCCACACCCCCTAAGTCCAAGGATGCCCTGGATTCACTGGTTCCCCCCTCCTCCTCCAAACGACAAGCCCACCCCCCCACCCCCCAGGGCAGGCTGCCCGCACCTGTCTGCAGAGCAGCCGGTTGAGGATGGGGGAGCGGGGCGCAGCTCGCGGGGAGAGGGTGCGCAAGGTGTCCAGGGACCTCCCTGGGGATGGAGCGGCCGCGATCGGCAGAGGCAGTGATTCGGTTGGGATCTGGAGGGTCGCACGGGGCTCCTCGGGGGGCGAGCTGGGCGAGGGAACGGTCCCTGGAAGAGGGCGGGGAGTGTATATGCACAGCACGAGCCTCCCTCCATCTTCGCCGGATGGCCTCTCCTTCCCGGAAGTCCCTCCCTTGCCTCGGGCCCCACCCTGAGGTCCCGCCCCTTCCCCAAGTCCCTCCCCTGCCTCGGGTCCCACACGCCCCTGTCTGGAGGCCCCACCCCCAAAGGCCCTACCCGAGGCTGTGCCCCCGTAAGTCTCCATCTCCACTTCCTGCAGCGTCGGGGGGTCAGCTGGAGCCACAGGCCGGAACATGTAGCTGTCATTGGGCAGCGAGAGCATGCGCGACACGGACACCTTGCGCACCACCAACAAGTTCAGGGCCTCGGGGCTCGCGCCTGGACTCTCCTGGGGCAGAAGGCTACATCAGGGCCACCGCTGCCCAGGACCCCGCTTACCACATCCGCCCTCTGCCTCCCCTCTTCAGAGAAACAGGCCCTCCCCCACCCTGAGTTCCCACCCACCACATCAGTCTCTGCATCGGTCAGTAGTACCCCACCCACCAAACCTGTCTGCCCCCTATCCTGCCTTAGAGACCTCTCTGCCCACCACCAAATCTGCCCCCTTCTCCACCCTAACCAATGGGACCTCCCCACTGTGCCAGTCCTCCTTCCACTAGGGGTACACCCCCACACACAACACGTCGGCCTCTGGCCCCACATAGGGGACCTCTGCCCACCACCATGTCTGCCCCACCTCTAGTGGACCCCACCCATCATGCCGGCCCTCTGTCCCACCTGGAGGACCCCCGGTTCACACTCTTCCCGACCCATGTGCCCACCCATGACCCCACATCACCGGTGGTACTCCGCTCACTGAGAGATCCCGCCCACTACATTCACCAAACCCTTCCTGGGAGCCTCTTCCCCAGGGAGGGCCACTGTACCGGCGTGGTGGCATCTGGGGCATCAGCAGGGACTGGAGCGCGGGCCATCTCTGCGTCCAGCTCGGCGTCCAGCTCAGCGTCCTCGCGGGCTTCCTTGTTGCTCTCCTCCAGGTGTTTCATGAGCACAGCCACCACCACGTTGACCAGCACAAACTGGGCGATGAGCACGAAGGTGACGAAGTACACGGGCGAGATCACCGGCAGGTAACTGAGACAGTGCTTGTCCTCACGCACGCACTCTCGGAGCGTGTCCTGCGACAGGGGGCGGGCCACCGACTGTCCGACTGCAACCTCGGCATGCCAGCGGCTTACCACCAGCCCTGGAGCCTTCCCCCAGCCCCTCCCCCCTGGAAGACTCCACCCCCACAGCCTCCAAGCCCCTTCCTCACCTTGAACAGCCCCTCAAGCCTCTGAGGGGCACCTGAGGCCCCACCTAGGGCTAGCTCAAGCTTAGTCCTCTGAGGTACCCTAAGTGTCCTGAGTTCCTGAAGCCATCCACCCTCCAGGAGACCTGCCTGCCCCAGCAGTCCCCCTCCCACCCCCCCACCAGCTGCAGCAGTACCTTCATGATCCCGTTCCAGTTGTCACCTGTGGACACTCGGAACAGTGTGAGGAAGGCCATGCCGAAGTTGGTGAAAGTGGCATGCCTGCTCAGGCCCTCGCAGGGATTGTCCTCACTGCAGTCTGCAAGGGGACAAAGACCCCATCTGTCAGTCAGCTGCGACCATGCGTGTCCGGTAACCCACCACCAGCCCTGTCCATCCTGATGCCTCCACTCTCTGTGTGCGGGGACAGTGGCCAATCTCTAAGATCTTTGCTGACGAGGACCCAAAGGTAGATCTCTCAGGGGCCACTTCTGTTCAGTCAGAGCAGTAAAGGGAGATTCCTCCTTGGGACAGATCCAGGTTCCCTCCCATCTGTCTCCATCTAGCCCAGGCTGTGAAGAGGAGTGTGGTGACTGACTTGGTCAGAGGGAGGTGAGTAGGGGCGGGTGGGGGCGGGGAGGGATGGGGATAGGAAGGGAGGGAGTTAAAAGGCATTCAGATCTGGGACTGTCTGAATGGACTACTACACAGTCTGGCTATGACTCATCCTCAACAAATGGCACTGCCTACTCTCCAGCTTCCTGGGCCAACCCACAGGGATAGTCTGTGGCCCTCCTTAAAGTGTTGGAGTCACTAAGTTTGGCCTGGTCCTAAAGGACCAGTTATGGGGTAGAGTGAGACTCTGGATTTCCTGGAAAGGTAGCCAAGTCACCTTTGACCAGAGCTCACCTGAGGGAGTACCTGGGTGGCCACTAATATCCCTGAGCACTCTCGTCAGCCACAGCCACCTCAACAAGGGACAGTTGGTGGCCTGGAAGCCACCAGAGGGTTGGCAAATTGCCCCAGGTGACACTGTGGGTGGTATGGGAGACCCAACAGAGATTGTACTGCCCCCAGAGAAGGATAGGGGCACCCAGGAGAAGGTCAGAGGCCTGGGAGGCCCCCAAAACTCCCATCCCACAATGGACAGAAGGCAGGTCCCCAGTATTTGCCCCTGGGACGGTAGTAGTGTGATTGCTGGGGTGTGTGTGTGTTGGGGTGTGACACAGGCCTGTCTGCACATCCACACATCTGAATCACACGCATGCATGTGTATGTCCTGGTGGGTCAGATGGGTGTCTGTGTGTGCACACCTGGACAAGGACACACACAACGGCCCGGCCCCACCACCATGCCCTCCCAGGCCCCCGGGTCCAGCTTTCATGTGTTCGGGCTCTGGAGGTGGCTCTCACCTAACCTCCCGAACAGCTCCACTCCCAGGGCAGCATAGATAAAAAACAGGAGCATGAAAAGTAGGCCAAGGTTCCCTACCTACATGGAGAGAAGCAGAAGAGCATCAGGCGGCAGCAGGGGTAGCCCACACCCGAGGCACGCCAGCACCGCCCCCCCCCCCACTGTTCCCACGGCATCGCTGCTCCCCAGGGGGCCTGTGCCAGGCACAGAGACAGGTTTGGATCCTCGCTCATACCACCCAGCCTGTCCCACACAGGACTGCCTCTCTGCCTTGCCTTCAAGAAGGTCTCTACTGACAGACGGTGCCACTCAGAGTAGTCACACCACTGCCCACACCCTCACCCTCACTTTCTCTAAGACCCGGTCCAGTCTACATGCCACGTGTTGCCTCTATGGTCCCTGCCCCTGCTGCCCCCCTCAATCCAGCCTCCCCGCACCCACACCACCCCTAGACATTCTCTGGGTGTCAGGATCAGCCTCTGCCCTCCTGGCATCCCATTAATGCCAAGAGCAGATAGGGACCCTTGTGTCATTCTGAGGGGAGGCTGAGGACACCGCTGAAGGGGCACCGGGGAGTGGCACAGTGGTGGGTTAGGTAGTTGCAAGGACAGATGGTGGGTAGGGAGGAGAAGACTAGGTGTGAGGGGATGAATGGTGTTAAGTGTGTATGGGGTGACTGGGAGGTGGCTAGGTGGATAAACAGAACAGGACTGGACACAAGGACAAATGGGTGGGTGGATGGGATGGATGGATGGGAGGGTGCATGGATGGCTGGTTGGTTGGATGATTGGTTGGCGGGCTGGCTGATTGGTTGAGTGGATGTTTGGCTGGGAGGGTGGTTGGTTGAAGGGTTGTTTGGTTGGATGGCTGGGCAGTTGGTTCATTAGCTGGCTGGCTGGGTTGCTGAATAGATGGCTGGTTGGATAGGTGGTTAAATAACTGGTAGGCTGAGTGGGTAGATGAGTGGCTAGTTGGAAGAATGGCTGATTGGAAAGCTAACTGGTTGGGTGAATGGGCAGGTGGCTGGCCAGCTGAGTGGGTAGATGGCTGGTTGGCTGAATGGCTGGATAGTTGGATGGATGACTGGTTGGGTGGGTGGATCGATGAGTAACCTGTTGGGTGAGAAGGTGATTCTTTGGAAGGTTGGTTGGCTAGATGGGTGGCTGGTTTCATGGTTGGTTGGTTGGTTAAATGACTTATTGGGTGGGTGAGTGGATGAATGGATGGGTAGGTGGATAGTTGATTGGTTGGTAAGTGGGTGGATGGCTGGTTAGGTGGATGGTGGGATGATGGCTAGGAGGGTGAGTGGGTAGATGGTTGGTTGGATGCCTGGCGAGTTGGTTGGTTGACTGGTTGTTTGGATGGCTGAATAGTTGGGTGGGTGAATAGGGTTGCATGGTTGGTAGGATGGGCAGCCAGTTAGGTGAGTGTTTACACGGACAGCTGATTGGGTGGGTGGGCAGTTGTCTGGCTGAGCAGGTTGGACATGAACAGAGAGATTTATGGGTGACTGGGTGGATCTATGCAGGATAGGGCACCCAGAGAGTAGCTTCCAGGAGTACTGTTTCTGTTTCAGATGACTGTGGCTCAGGAAGTGAGGGTCTGAGCAGGCTCCCCCTGGGCAGCTGCCTGGGCTACAACGTGCTGGAAAATCCTCGCTTCCCCCAACCCATCCCCTTGCTATGGCCTGCCTGCCTTCGATGTGGCTCCAGTGAAGTGGAGGTGAGTCATGGGTCCCCCAGAGGCTATGGCCACATAGCCAGGCTGTTCCTGGCACACTGCGGAGCAGGGAACAAAGGAATGCTCGATGGCGGAGAGGACAACTTTGCAGCCCTCTCTTCTGGGGGTGTCTGGGATGCCTTCCCTGGGAGCGGGGCCGCCGACCTACCTGGGGCAGGGCTTGAACCACCGTGTCCAGCAGCGCCCGCATGCCCACTGCCATCTTGAGCAGCTTCAACACTGGAGTGAGGGAAGGTGTTAGTGGGGGCAGGGGCTCTCCCCCAAGCCCCAGCATTCCCCAACAGGGCTTGGGAACCACCATCCTTGGCCTGCTGGGTGGGAGTGTGAGGGCCAGCCACCAAGGCAGGAAGGCTGCTGGGGCTGGGCGGAGCCCTCCACAGGGGCCCGTGGCTTCTTCTGCCTGCCTGCTGCTGGCCAAGGGTCAGCCGGATGGGGAGGGGAGGACGTACCCCGAGCGATGCGGAGCACACGCATGATGCGGATGATGGTGGGGTTGATGGGCAGCGCGGCGTTCATCTCGATCTCCTCCAGCGTGATGCCCATGATGGACAGCAGCACAATGGCCAGGTCCAGCTGGTTCCACCTGGCGGGCCGCAGGCGGGGGACTCAGTGCCGGCTGGGCACGGACACCTTCCCAGGGTGAGTCTCAGCACCTGAGGCCACCCACCTGTCCTTAAAGAACCTCCGGAAGCCAAAGGCCACCAGCTTCAGCACGGCCTCCACCACAAAGACGATGGTGAACACGTAGTTGCAGTACTTGAGGGCTTCGTCCAGCGCCTGGGGAGAGGACCCACGGTCACGACTGTGGCCCGTGGCCCCACTCACACCTGCCACCCGCACCTCGGCAGCCAGCAGCCCTGACCCCAGCACAGTGCACAGGTGGTGCCCAGTGGATCGCAATGGGGTCTCCAGTGAATGGTGCTTTCTAGCCCTGGTCAAACCCTCCTCAGTCACCCGCAGCATGCCACCGCCTCCAGGAAGCCACCCTGTCTCCACTGTCCAGCTCACTCTGGCTCTGCTCTTCTGGGCCCGGCCTTCTGGGTCACAGCTAGTGAGCAGTTACTTTATGTACAGTCTGCATGAGGCGGAGTACATCACCTCCGTGAAACCGCCCCCCCCCACACACACACACAGTTTAGCTTGGGGGACAGCCTTTGGATGGTGGGGAACCGGCCTAGGACCTCTGGAGTGAGGGGTCAAAGTAGACCAGGGTACACGTGCCATTTCCTGCCTGCTTCTTGGCACTTTCCTCACATGGCCCATGCCAGCCCCGCTATGCCCAAACAGTGAGGTGCAGCAGGGAGTCCCTGGAAGGGCTGCGGACCAGAAAGGTGGTGAGTCTGAATCTCCCCCGAGTGCCTGAGAAGAAAGGCTGGGGGGATCTGTGTCCACTGAGAGCAGCGTCCACTGAGGTGGGCTTGCTTGGATGTAGCCCAAACCCTCACCGCCATCGAGTGGGTTCTGATTCACAGTGAGCCTGTAGGACAGAGTAGAACTGCCACTGTGAGATTCAGAGGCTGAGAATCATTAGGGGAGTAGAAAGCCTCATCTTTCTCCCTTAGAGTGGCTAGTGGCTTTGAATTGCTGACCTTGTGGTGAGCAGCCTGTTCGGATATCGTACCTTTATAACAACCCCTGTCTGTCTTCTCCCCTCCCCCTCTCCGCCCCAACTGCCTGCTAGCGCTATCTCACAGTGTGCTACTGGGACGCAAATAGCTCAGCTAAGGAATCTCAAATACCAGTAGGGTCACCCATGGTGGGCAGGCTTCAGTGGAGTGGCCAGATTGAGACTAGGAAGAAAGGCCTAGCAATAAAGCCAGCCACTGAAAACCCAACGGAGCCTGAGTCCACTGGCTGGCCAGCGTGCCAGATCCTTCCCCAAGAATGAGGGAGAGACCCTTCCTGGAAGGGTCGGGGAAGGAACAGGGTGGTGGCGGGATTCTGTCTTTAATGAGATGATGAAATGCAGATGTAATTGGAGCATCACCGAGAGGGGTCCCTTTTCTCTCTCTCTCTGCTTTTGTTCACCATGAACCCCCAGAGTCCAGGGTGCCGGCTTTGTTAGGGGTGAATTCTAAGAGGTCGCCACTCTTCCAGCCGGGCCATCACAGTAAGGCGTGTTACATGCTGCGAGACAGCAGGTGGCGCTGTGCTCTCGTGAGACTTTGTCTTGCGCCCCTCCATCTGCAGGGCCCCTGCTCTAGGCCCTGCAGGCTGGGTGTGGGGTCCCCGGGCGGCCCGGAGCCCCACCTTGGGCTGGTCGTAGTGCTCCATGGACATGGTGATGACGTTGACCCCGATGATGAAGGTGATGAAGAGGTCGAGGTAGTGGCTGGTGCAGAGAGAGTGGATGGTGCGGCGGGTGGGCGAGTAGTCAGCGTAGTAGGGCCTGCGCTGGGCTTCTGCGGGGAGAGGTGGCGTAAGCCCAGATGCCAGGCTCTGGGGAGGGGCGTGTCTGGAGCGGGGCCACGCCTGAGTGGGGAGGAATATATCTGGGGGCAGGGGCGGCTGCCTGGAGGGGGGGCCAGGTGTGCTGTCCACAGGGGAGCGTCCAGGCACTGTAATGGGAGGCCTGCGCCTCCTCCAACCTCAGCATCCAGCCTGCCTGGGGGTGTCTGCTTCAGGCTACAGAAGGGGTTCTCTCAGGACTCTCTAGGGGTCCAAGATAAGGAGGGACTGCCTGGAAACATGGGTGGCAGAGTGTAGGGGGTGGGAGTGGGGGAATGCTGGGGAAGCTAACCCACTGACTGTCCTCCTGCAGGGATCCCCACCCAAAAGCAGTGCCCAAAAGGAGGCTGGAGGCCAAGTTAACCCACCCATACCCCCTAGGGATCCCTGCCCACCTCCATCTCTGGGCCCAGGCCCCTCTGAGTGACTGGGGGTGGAGTGGGGGGCCAGGGATGGGGGAGACCACCTCCCCTCCCCAGAGTCCCTGGGGACAGAGGCTTGTCATCTGGAGTTTGTGGGACCCCAGCCCCACTAGGGATGCTGCCTGGGATGGGTTGAAATGATGGTATTGGGGGATCCTGGCCTGCGTGCCCCCTAGGGGTTGTCTACACTGAGCACTGCCCGCGGTGCCCCTTTTTAGCACACATCATGCCTGCCATCGCGCTTCTGCTAGGTTAGGCTGGCAACCACCACCCTCCACGCCCCCTGCAGGAAACGTTCACCCTCCACCCAGCAGCCCACCCCAGCATGGCCTGAGGGCCTGGGCTAACATGCGCCACAAGACGCAGAACCGGCAGCCAGACACAGCAGCAGCCGAGGTGTAAGCCAGACAGGGGAGGGTGTGTGGGGGCAGGCGGGCAATGGGGTTGACCCTCAGGCAGGCAGCGCAGGGCCAGGCAAGCGAGCTGGCAGCTCGTGCATCCAGCCAAGCGAGCTGGCAGCCCGTGCATCCAGCCAGGGCAGAAGCAGGCTAAGACGTGCGGGTGGTACCTGGGCTGGGGAGCTGGCCTGGAAAACAAGGAGGTGTCTCAGGGTCCAGGGTGGGCCCCTGCCCCAGGGAGGCCCCTGCCCCAGGGAAGCCCCTGCCCCAGGGAGGCCCCTGCCCTAAGCCCTGAAAGACACACAGCCTGCCCGCTATGGCGTTCCCGAAGGATCATATGAGAATTAACATGTCTTTGGGGACTAGGGACCAGGATTGACTAAGAGGGTGTTCTTTGCCCCAAACTGCATGGACCTGCTCTCTCTGGAGCCCACCCCCCTGGGGATCACATGGGAGTTAAGCTGCGCGCCCCCCCGGGGAGTGGGGGGCTTTGGCACCAAGCTGCATGGACCTGCTCTCTGTGGAGTTTCTCCTGCTGCCTCTCGGGGGTTCACACGAGGTGAAGCTTCTCCTTGGGAGGAGGGGGCACTCTGCACCAAGTTCCCCTCTCTGGAGCCCCCTGTCTCAGGGCAGGCCTGCTGGCTCCCGTTAGGAACAACGCCCCTGGGGTCTGGGGGCGGGGGAGCTAGTGCATCCTTCACTGTTGGGCCCTAGCGGCCACTCTGGGTCCCTGCCTCCGGCCGCAGCGCTGGCTCCCAGAGGAGGGGACAGACAGCAGCGTGCAGAGCATTCCTGGCGCGGAGAGCGCGGCCGCCCGGGCGCGCAGGTACCGACCGGCCACCGGGGGCGCCTTACTCCGTCGCCTCCGCTCCAGCCGCCGCAGCCGCTTCTCCTCTCGCCGCCGCGCCTCCTCGGCCTCCTGGTGCTGCCGGCACTTGTGGAAGTTCTCCACCACGACGCCCACGAACATGTTGAGCACGAAGAAGCTGACGATCAGCAGGAAGGAGATGAAGTAGAGCAGCATCCAGGGGTTGTGATTCTGCACGGGCTGCGGGCACAGGGCGCACACATGGCTGCTCTCAGGATGGCCCTGCGAGGCAGGCGGGGGCGGGGCGCATGGAGCACCGCGCACCGCCCACTGCTCACCCACCCACCGGCCTACAGGAGGCACCTGCTGGTCGATGCCCACGGCGTCCAGCCCGTCGTACATGATGTTCACCCAACCGTCCTTGGACGAGAGTACGAACAGGGACATCAGGGCCTGGAATCCAAAGTAGGGGGCGCTGAGCACAGGCTGGGCCCAGCAGCCGCCCCGTCCCCATACACACACCACTAAGCTCCCTGCCCTGGGGTCCCGGGACCCCAGCCAGGGCCATGAGCCCTCCCCCAGAGGAGGGATGGTCCCTGACTGTCTCTGGCACCCACCTGGCCCAGGTTGTCGAAGTTGTACTTGCGGCGTACCCAGCGGTAGTGGGCAGCCTGGCACTCGGCTTTGGTGGAGATATTTCTGGTGTCCAGGCCGTCGCAGTAGTAGAACTTGCCCTTGAAGAGCTGCGCAGGGAGGAGACGGTCACCTGGAGGCCCCAGACACCCCACCCCCACCCCAAGCCTCCCAGCTTCCCGGAGCAGGGTGCCAGGGCAGTCCACCTGCACGCCCAGGATGCCAAAGATGATAAAGAAGGCGCAGCAGATGAGGACGATGTTGCCAATGGGCCTGAGGGACGAGATAAGCGTCTCCACCACCAGCTTCAGGCCCGGGGCGCGGCTGATGACCCTGCAGGGGTGGACAGGCTGCTGAGGGGCCGGCCCGCAGAGAGTGGCAGGTGGGGGGGGGCACGCCCAGGAAGTCCAGCGCCCTACTCACCTGAGGGGCCGGAGGGTCCGCAGCAGACGCAGCACCCGCAGCACTCCCAGGATCTTGGCGCCGCCGGCTGAGGCCAGGGCGACCACGATGTCAACCAGGGACACGAGCACCAGCAGTCCGTCCAGCACGTTCCAGCTGCTCTGCAGGTAAGCGTGCTCGCCCGAAACCAGGCCCAGCGCCACCACCTGCGGGTGCCCGGCAGGGGCATCAGCGGCAGTGCCGGGATGCACACAGGGGCCCGGGCCCTCCCACCGCCCTGGACCTGCCGGCACCTTCACCATCATCTCAGACACGAAGATCGCAGTGAAGATGTAGTTGGAGACGCTGAGGAAGACCCGCTCCTGCGGGAGAGGGCGGTGGCTGGGGGAGGGGCCGGGACACTGGGAGACCCACTGGGAGGGGCGGGGCATAGGTGGTGGGAGGAAGGGGGAATGGAGTGAAAGGCGGGGTCGTGGCAGTGGGTGGGGCCCGGCACTGGATGGGAGGATATGGCAGGGCAGTGCCAGAGCGGTGGGTGGGACAGTGAGCAAGGTGTGAACAGTGGGAGGGAGGATGGGGCTGGGGTAGGGCATGGACAGCGTGCCAGAGCAGCGGGGGCTGGGGGCGGTGGGCGAGGTCTGCGCGGTGGGCGGGCCCGGGACGCACGGTGCTGCCGGGGTCGATGTCCGGGCGCTCCAGCGCGATGGTGATGCAGTTCAGAAAAATGAAGAGCAGCACCACGTGGTCAAAGAGCTTGTGGGAGATGACCTTCTGGCAGACAATGCGGAACCTGGGGGGGGGGGGATGGCGGGCGGGGCGGCGGGGGAGAAGACGTGTTGAGGCCTGTTTCCCCCACCCCCACCCCCACGCCGGGCTCCTGCCTCGCTCACCGGTTCTGAGTTGAGAAGACGTAGAGCGCCCACGTCTCACGTTGGCGGCACCACTCGGGCTGGTGACGGCCCAGCAGCGCGCGCAGGCGGTAGCAGCAGCTCTGGTGGGCGGGGGTGGCGAGGAGGGGACTGGTCACTCACCAATGACCTCGGCCTTGCGTCCAGACCCTTTCACCTTCGACACTGCCTTTACCTTCCCTACCTGAGCAATGGGCTAGTGATCTTTGCTGAGCATTGCTGGGGCCAGGTGGGTGGGCACTGGGGGTCCGCCTGAGTCCTGTCCCCATTGCTTAGAGGTGGGCTACTAAAGGCCTCCTCAACCAGGTCCCATTTGCTGCCCATCTGCGATGGCTCACAACCAACCAGGGGCAAACCCTGAGACAGAGGCCCAGCCCTGGGGCTCGAGGGGTCACTTCTAACACTGTTCACACTCTAGGGAGATGGAGGGGTCAACTGAAAGTGGGCCCCAACTGCGAGCATGCCCATATGATGCTGGCCACACTCTTGACCTCTGTGTGTGTGGTCAGCCTGAGCTTGTGTCCCTTCCTCTGAGTGTTCTCTCTGAGTCCTTGTCCCCCAACTCAGGCCCAGACAGGAGCAGGGCAAGGGCTTTCCAGGCTCAGGGCGTCCCCTGACCACTCACATCCTCCATGTCCTCTTCAAACTCGGCTGGGTCCTCCCGGTGGCTGTCGATGTGCAGGAAGAACTCGCTGGGCAGGGCCACTGTCTGCCCGTTGCAGTCAGGGGACTTGGCCGGCAGCAGAGCGACCGCCCGTGGGGGCCGCAGGTCCAGCGTGCTGCGGTGGTCCAGGGACTCAGCGCGCCGCAGCGGGGTAGCTCGTGCCCCTGGGGAGGAGGCCCCCGTGCTGGCCCTGCCATCCTCGGCCTCATCGTCCGTACTGCCCCGGCCCTCACCAGACAGCAGTGACTCCCGCTCCCCGCACTGGCTCCGGCGCTTGAGGCTGGGCGCACGGCCCAGGCTGTTCCAGCTGGAGCGCCGGCTGCTCCAGGTCCCATTCGGGCCCCAGTGGGCGCAGGGCGAGCTTCGAAGGCTGGACTGGGGGGACAGGGGGTAGGGTGAGCTGGGGCCCGTGGCACCTGCCCAGACATGCTCCTCATTCCACCCAGAGGGCTGGAGATGTCTTTCCTGACTGGCATCAGCCCTCAGAACCCCAACAGCTGGCATTTACAATGAGCCTGGTAGCACAGTGGTTCAGGTCAGTGGTCGGAACCCACCGACCACTCGGGAGTCTGCTTCTGTAAAGAATGACAGCCCTGGAAGCTCTCCCTAGGGAGGCAGGTCTGCCCTGTCCAACAGGGCGGCTATGAGTTACCATCGGTGGGTTTGGGTTTTTTGGTTAACTGTGTGTACACAGACCATGAGGTGATTGGTGGAACAGAACGAGGGGCTCTTTTTTGGCTTAAAATCAGGAGAGGTGTGTGTCAGGGCTGTACGTTTTCACCATACTTCTTCAGCCTGTACACTGGGCTGACGTGTGCAGAACGCATCATTAGGATTGGAGGAAGATTTGTTAACAATGTGTGACATCCAGATGGCACAGCCTTGCTTGCTGGGAGAGGAGAGGGCCTGAAAGCTCTTGCTGATGAAGTTTAAAGACTGCAACCTTGGGCATGGATGGGGCTCAACGCAAAGAAAACACACATCCTCACAACTGGACGGACATGCAGCATGATGATAAGGGAAGAGAGGACTGAAGTTGTCAAGGATTTCACATTACTTGGACCCACCAATCGACACCCATGGAAGGAACACTTTAAAAAAACAAAAACAATACCCTGCACTGGGCACACCTGCTGCCAGAGACCTCTTTGAAGTGTTAAAGACATGCACGCCCATGTCTAGTACACAACTTCTCTAGCAGCAAAAGGATGGAAACAACCAAACACCCCGTCTGTGGAGGAATGGATACACAACCCTAGCACACGTGCACACAATGGAATAGTATGCAGCCTTGAAAAATGACGCATCTGTCAAACACCTCGTGACATGGACAGGACCGGAGGACATTAAGCTCAGCAAAGTTAGTCAATGTCATAAATATTCCATGACACCATTATTATAAAGGGGAAAAAAACAGCAAAACAAAACAAGGGGAAAAGTGATGCTCATATCTAAGGAAATGACTTAGAAGACAAGGATGAAGTGGGGGTGCAGGGGAGAGGGATCGGGGAAGGATGGAGAGAAAAGGGGGAGGGTGGAAAGAGGATGGGTTGGAGAATTAATAAAAGAGGAAAGAACCACAGACACAGGTGGGGGCGGGGGCTGCTCAGATTCTCTCACTGTTCTGAGGCCATGGGCCCTGTGACTATGGATGCGCTACCTTCCACAAATTAACAGGGCGGGGAAATCTAAATAAATCCATTTCAAGCTTCAAAATAATTAAACTTTAAAAGAACGTGCTGTTATTGAAGAGCAGCACAGACGTCACTTTGAGAACTACGGTGCACTTGGCTGGCTGGTGTTTGTTCTGTTGAGCATGGGGTGCTGTGAGCCATAGACAGCACAACGGGACCTAACAACTACGACAACGTGGCAAACCACGCAGAGACGGAGCCCCTGTGCAAGCCTCTGGCACCACCTCTGGGGGGCTCGAAGCGGCAAGCCGGGCTAGCTTATCTACGACGTGGTCTGTGAAGGTGCTCCCTGGAAAGCTTCATCGGCCCCTCTCCTGCATCCCCTGGTGGAAGCAGATCTGTGGCGATAGCTCGACCCCATAACTTTCCAGCTTGTTCAGTAAAGAGTGGTTCTGGGCTGAGCCTGTGGCACGCAACACACTCACACGCCAGGCCATTCCATCCTTTTAAGGAAGGGCAGTGGCCTGTGTGGTAGTTACATAATCTGGTGTCAATTTGGGACTTGAAAGGATTAAGAGTGAAGGGGTGGAGTCTAGTCTGTCAATCAGGTCATAGCCGATGAAGCCTCTGTGTGGGCATGGCCTCCAGAGGATTCTGGGGACTCCTGTAATGTCCTCCTTGGAGGTGGGAGACATACTCTCTCGCCTCACTCCCTTGGACACTCTCTACTGACACGACACATGGCACTATGCTGACAGTTCCCCGTGCCCTGAGAACTGAAGACCTCTGCCAGCACTGAGATGTTTCTACTGCCACTGGCCTGTGGTCCTCCTACATTCAGCGTCATTGCATGTGTTTCGTGATCCTGAAAAGGATGTCATAGATTAGTATCAGACATATGGGCTAATATCGGACTTAGGGACTTGATCCGAATAGGGCTGGGATGTTTTTTTAATGTACAATTACGCTTTCTATAAAACTCTCTCTTATACACATATGAGCCTCCAGAATTTGTTTCTCTAGTCTACCCAGACTGCCACAGCCAGGCAGACCCCCTGGAGAGAGCAGGAAGAAAAAGCACACCTCCAGCTGTCAGTGAGTGGGATCTACCTCACAGCCACCCTGTAGGACAGAGTGGAGCTGTCCCATCTGCTGTCCACGACTGGCCTCCTTACAGAAGCACACTGCCTCCTCTTGTTCCTGGCGAGTGGCTGGTGCACTTGGGCTCTGGATCTGGGGTTCGCAGGCCCACATTTAACCCACGGCACCACCAGGGCTCCTTGGAAGAATGATGGAGCCTGGTGGTGTAGTGGATCCACACTGGGCTGCTTATTGCATGGTGAGCGGTTTGCAACCTCCAACTGCTTCGCAGTTGAAAGGCAGGGCTCTCTGCTCCCGTAAAGAGTGACGGTCTCAGAAACCCACAGGGTCAGCTCTACTCTGTCAGCGGGCCTCTAGAGTTGGCATTGACCCGCGGGCAGTGAGTTTGCGTGCTCCTCAAACTGCACTCAGGTCACCTCCTTCAGGTCACCTCCATGGCACAGCTCGGTGACCCGTTGCTGTGGGGGGAAGTCAAACACTTGCTGCCAGACTGCTGTCTCATCCCACAGCAGGGCTGGGCCTACTCCTGCTGCTGGAGACAATAGACTACCTCTCTCTGGAGCCAAAGGCCATTAGTTTGATTCCTGTGGGCGGAGTACACACCCAACTGATAATGGTTCCTATG